GTGCCGCACACTCCGCAAAGGCCAACGGAGTGTGAAACTCCTCTGAAACTCCTACCAGTAACACACTTCAAGGGTTTAATATCACTTATTAGTCCATTGCAGCAGACTGTGTAAGAAGTGACAAAAGGTTAGGGCTAAGACCCTATTCACACTTGTGAAAGGTGCCATTTGTTATTAGCTTTGGGAGACCCTGAGGAGATTTTCTGTGAATAGCTGCAGATGGAAAGCCTCATTAACCTCCCTAGCGGTCTGATTATGTCAGTATTTCTATGCTCAAAGCGGTACATTTTTTTGCATGGAAATATGTCGTTTTTTTTTTATTGTAGGCCTGTAATTTTTAGGAATAACTTACTGAAATCTGTCCTAACAAGAGTCTAGTAAACATCTCGGGTATGATAAAATTTGAAACACGAAATGATAAATTATATTATAATAAATAATCATAAAAAATAATAATATAATAATAATACATTTTATTTAATATGTAATCAAACCAAAAAACACTGAAATTTGAATTATAGCGCCAAGTTAGCCCATCACTGAGCTCAGTCGCAGAATCGTTTTCAGTGTCTGATGATGAATTTCCCCACGAATCATTATCACTCAATTTTGCAAGTGGTTCTAATTTACTATCGCTGTTCTCTAGACTGAGCCGGTCTAAAACCACTTTTGACCTAAAGGGACACTTTTTGGACGCCATGGACTTTTCCCAGTTTCAAGGCAGAAAGAACAGTAAAAATAAAGGCAGGGCACAGGACAAAGCACTCGGGACAAAATGTATGTGAAATGGTTTGATACAGTAATGTTTAACTATGGGATTTTAGTGTATTGAGTGAATCTCATGTTTAAAATTTTTTAATTTCCCGCCGGTTCTGTCCCCCGTACGTCCCGACGCTCGCAAGGACCGGAAGACGGATGCTGGCATTGGCCGTAGGAGATGGCCGGGGATGCTGTAGGGGGGACATCACAGGAGCGAAGGACAAGGTAAGTGCAAGAGGGATCCCGGAGCAATGCTGCAGGGTAATCCCGAGTGTAGCACGGGATTACTGCTTTTGGTACTGAAACTTTAGCCCGAGCTACACTCGGGAATACCACCAGGGAGGTTAAAAGCAATGGGAGGTTGACAGCTCCTGCAACCATTCCCGGACAGTCACAGCAATTGCCCGTGGATAATCAGCCCCAGACACAGACTGCATACCAGGCTTATCAACTGCAGGTAATCACTGCATGAGTGATTACATGCGATCCACTATGCATAGCTGTTGGAGCTGTTAGCCTCCCATTGCTTTCAAAGGGGCATCTCCCCCACAGCTATTCACAGCTAACCCTCACAGATGGTCTCAAATTGCCCAATAAACTCCATAATTTAGTGCACAACACCTCACAGCTGATGACATAGGATCACCACTTATTCAACTTCAAAGGGTATCTATTAGAAAAGAGTATTCATATTTTTTTCATGTGTAATCACATGCTGTATGGTTGCCAATCTTGGAAAAAAAAGGACATTCAACACAACATCCTGTTAGTAGATACAGGTTTATTTTAATCAGAGGTGTTAGTCAATCACAGTAAACTTGTTCCTAAAATAGAAAATGTAGAAACATAAGAAGAAACATACAAGAGTGACAGCAGAAAAATGTTCCGTTGTCTCTAACCCTTCTTTTAAAATTTGTATTAAAACTGTCTTTGGTGTAGCTAGTTCCACACATGATTCTCACAATTAGCTGAAGATCTAGTTGATACATTCTAGAGCAGTGATTCTCAACCAATGCTGGATTGCGGCCTCCTCCCTCCTAGGCCTCCTGCCAGCTGCAGATCCCATGGCCGCCCACAGTGCCTTCCAGCTCTCATAGTGCCACTCAACCTCCCGCAGTGCCCCTAGACCCCCTGAGAGCCCTCAGCTTGCACAGTTTTACTGGGCCCAAGTCTCAATAAGGTTGAGAACCACTGCTCTAGAGGACAGTTTTTTTAATGTATTTTTATACCTCCAAACTTTTGAACCTGATAAAGAAAGGAACACGAGGAGAGAGAAGACTAGCAGTGTGCAGAACATGCTGCACCAAGAGTTAGTATGGCTAAATTGTGCTAAATATAGGGTGTGGCTTAAAGGTCTATACATTGTATATGCTGTACATGATCAGCAGTCTTTGTATTAACCATAATTTCTGTGCTATGAGTCAGTCCTACTCAGGGGCAGACTGACAACTCATGGGGCCCCCAGGCAATAGGGGATCATGGGGCCCCTGTGTCCTGGCCCACACCCAAAAAAAGCCTATGAAAAAGCCAATGAAAGGTACCAGGGGCATCTCATGGGGCCCCCTACTTACCCCAGGTCCTCGGGCAGTGCCAGAGTGCTCAAATAGTAAGTCTGCCCCTGGACTCCTACTTAAAGTGTTACTAAATCCAGGACACTGTATTCACTATATGTGGTCTCCCACAGAACACGGAAATGCAATTATTTTCATCAATATAAACTGCTAAATACCTTTTCTCATCAGCAGTATAAAGCAGTCTTGTGACTTGTAGAAGGAGTTTTCATTCTCCTCTGTCCTATGGAGCTGCATGACCCCTCTGGACAGTGCTGATTGGCCCTGTGCCGATCACATGCACCCTTCCCCCCCAAAAAAAAAACTCTCTAGCAATACACACCATACTGATCACGTGCAGAGTGCCTCCTAGGGCTCTTTGCTATCAGTAGATGGATTGAGGACTGTGGAAGAAGAGGAAGATCAGAGAAGACAGGATCCCTGTGGAGGATTAACCCCTTAGGTTCCACAGTGAGTATAACAAGCATGGTTTACTGCATATACAGACTGATTTTATTGTTGTAGGTTTAGTAACACTTTAACTAAACCCACAAAACATCATTAAATAATAAATAAAATAAATGAGTGAAGAAAGCTTCAGGGAATTTGCATAGTTATTTGTCCAGCAAAACTGCACATATTTTTGTTCTATGAGCAGTAAGCCATGTACAGAAGTGAATGCAAACAGTGTGAATAGGCTCTATAACATTGGACAGCTATGGCAATAATTCATCAATGGGGAATGACACTGAGGAATTGTGGACTCCACTGAGCACTTTGCAATTTAAGTCTCAGTAATTGAAAATGCAGGAATTTTACTAGGTGGCCTGGGTGGATTGTAAGTTTGGTGGTTTGTATACCCTGGATGGTCAGCACCAGGGAAAGACTGACCATTTGGAAACTCGGGCGCTGCCGAGGGCCCAGGGTCAGTAGGGGGCCCCATGAGATGCCCCTGGTACCTTTTTCATAGGCTTTTTTGAGTTTGGGCAAGGACACAGGGGCCCCATGATCCCCTATTGCCCGGGGGCCCCATGAGTTGTCAGTCCGCCCTTGGTCAGCATTTTCTCATATTAGATATGATTTATGCCATGACTGTGCCCCCTAATGGTATTTTGCTCGATCTTGTACTGTCTTTGACCACATAGCCAGTAAAGTCCTTCAGATATGAATGTTACCGAGTTAAAAAAAAAAATACACCATTTTTTTTATGTTATTTGGGGTGTCACTTGGGTTGCCCATTGGTGCTGCAAGCACAGGATTGAGTTTGTCCTGAGTTAGCATCGTGAGTTAACATTATATGGGCCAGCCAGCCTCCAATACCAAAACAACTAATGATGCTCTAGGGCAGGATGTGTGCCATCATTTGTTGCTATGGTGTTAGCAGCCGGCCCGCCCTCAGCATTCAGGAGAGGATGGAAGTCCTCCTGCACCATATCTGCCCCACTTGTGTGACTGAGGGGCTCTGTGATGGGGCAACTGTGTAATAAAGGGCAGAATTTGATGTGATGGAGCTATGTATTAATTCTCAAAATGTTGTCAGTTTTGAATGGATATAGGTATACATTATGATGAGATGGGGCAGTCTTGGGAGTGGGAGGGTGCTGTCATCAATGGAAGTTTATAGAAGTTAATGGAGGTCATCGGTGCATGGTGGATCAGATATTTTTATTGTCGATAAGGAGTGGCATTTCTCAGTCAGGTGTGGATACATAGTGGATGTGCACTATCAATCTCCAAGCCCCTGACAAAGTCCATGTGACGTAGTGCATTTATCATGCACAAAACAGGAAATGCTGCCCAGTCCATGTCAATGATGTCTTTGTGAGCAGTGAGTGTGGCCAGGACAGTGGCAGCTAATGCAGAGGCATTATAATAAGTGCTTTGTCTGTGTACTTAATTTGTAACTGAGTTTTCATTTGTGTTTTTATAAATGTAAGTAGTTTATGTTATGCATTACTCTATTTAATTTTTTGAAGCCACAGTGGAACATACTCTTAGCCAGCAGAGGCAATACAATGATCTACCCTTAAGGGGTGAAGCAACCCATTTAGTATAGATAAGTATGGCTAATAGAAGGTGAGTGCTGGTCCCGTGGTGTGGGCTGACACAAGGGTGTGCCCAGGGGCGGACTGACCATTTGGAAACTCGGGCACTGCCCGAGGGCCCAGGGTCAGTAGGGGGCCGCATGAGATGCCCCTGGTACCTTTTTTCATAGGCTTTTTTGAGTTTGGGCAAGGACACAGGGGCCCCATGATCCCCTATTGCCCAGGGGCCCCATGAGTTGTCAGTCCGCCCCTGGGTGTGCCTCTACACTTTGTTGGAGTTTGTGGATGGACACTAATATTTGCAGGGCACTGTATTGAGAACACTGTGTGGACAGCCTTTAAGCTACCTAAAACCTCAGTGGCTAGAGGAAAGCAATGGGCAGCAGCAAAGTGAAGATGCCAACACCATATTTTTGGAGACGTTACTAGCTGACAAGGTTCCAAGGCATGCCTGCCTCTTGGTCCAGTCTGATAGCCAGGGTTATGGTTTCACAGCCTTTTATCAATGCAAGGAGATGGATTGTGAATATTCTAATCTCTTATTTCCTCTCTAATCATAAAGTAGAACTATAGGCAAAATGTGTTTTTCATTTTAGATAATGTAAGGAAGGTTTATAACCTGTCAGTTGATTTTTTTTGCCATCTGTGTCTCATTGGGGAGATTTACCTTCATTTCCTGTCCCATAGCTGAAAAAGGAAGTGAGAGAAAATCCCTTCAAATTAAGGGAATTCCTTGGGGGCCCCCAGGTCACCAGAACTAGTGTCCACATTTTAAATATTTCCCTCTGTTACTTTTCTGGGGACAACACACAACTTTTGAGAGGTTTCTTTTACTTTCACGTTTGATAATAATGTTAAACAGGAAAAACTGAAAGGGGGAATCTTGCAAACAGGGACACAGACAGCAATTAAAATTGAGTTCTATTCCCTCTCCACTATCGAAAACTATAAAAAAAAGTTTTGCCAGACACTATTACAGCTGCCTGCAAAGTATGGAATTCCATTATGGATATATCTTGTGTACTCTCTCAAGCAGAATTACAACTTTTACCATTACGGTCTTTGGAACTGCTTATACCAGACATCTCCCTGGAGGACTCGTATACTGCTGGACTTGCCTCTCTAGTACACTTATACTCCTGTCTTACTCTACAACCCTTCTAGGAGCTTTGCAAGGCTTATAAAAAAAAACCCTCCTCCTACTTTACAAATATCTACAAGCATGACATGCCCTGTATCACCTATTAATTACTAAAGATTCTACCCTCCCCAGATTCTACCCTCCCAGAAAATCTTTTGATGGTTATGAATATCTCACCGTCTCGTCACTTGGGACCTATCTACTGTCTACTCTCTTGCCCTTCTCCTCAACAGAAAACCACAACTATGGCTTATTGGGAACTTACCGATCAATTCATGATTTCTCCAAGTCAATGGTACCTTGCCACTCAACTACCTTTAAAACACTCCTGATGTCTCTCTCAATAGGAATCATCTCAAAAGCTTTTTTCACAAATGGTATTTAACACCAGATAGACTAGCCACCATCTACCCTAGTCAATCATCACTGTGCTGGAGACACTGGAAACACAGGATTGAGCTCTCATGTCTGGTGAAAATGCCCAGCCATCAATATCTTTTGGCTTGTTGTCTTTTTCTTGGCCTCATCCATTATAGGTGAAAAAATGCAGCCTGACCCTAAACCAGCCTGCTGGAAATAGGCATGGATTCCTGGCCTCCTACATTTCACACCGCCCTCACACACCTATCTATAGCAGATAGGCTAACCTTTGCAAAACAATGGAAACAAGCTACATCAACAAGAAAAAACACCTCCTGCACTCAAGAACTGGCACCATGGGACTGTTAACAGAGTGAAGGGTCTTTGAGTAGGTCACAGATGGCACTGGCTGTGCTGCCCTCCAACAGGTCAGGGGAAACCAGAAATGCAACTGTAAACAACATAAAAAAACAGAAGGAGCACCAGCCTAGCGCATTAACTCAATATTACCTTTATCTGAATAAAAAACAGATGTGTACTCACAAAGGACATGAAATAAATGGCATGTCGATCAGACAATACATGAGAGCGACCTCATCCCCTGAACACGTCCTTTTTGGGAATAGATGATCCAAAAATCTGACTCGTTTCGAGGGTCTCTGAGGAAGAGGGTTTTTTTTTATGTTTTTATAGAAACAAACGACACCCCTGATTGCTTAACTTCTATAAAGTCCAATCACTAACAAACTCACGCAGACTTCACCTCTGCAACATCGCCAAAATACGCAAGTTCCTAACCCCAGAAACTACTAAGCAGCTCATCCACGCCCCTCATCATATCACGACTCGATTACTGCAACTCCCTCCTCACTGGCTTGTCTCGCCACAGGCTATCCCCACTTCAGTCGATCCTGAATACGGCTGCCAGACTCATTCACCTTACCAAACCGCTCCGTTTTTGCACACCCCCTCTGCCAATCCCTCCACTGGCTTCCGATTGCGCAACGGATCAAATTCAAAATCCTAACACTGATGTACAAAGCAGTCCATCATACTGCCCCAAACTACATCACCGATCTAATATCCAAGTATCACCCAACACGCACACTCCGCTCCTCACAAGACCTCCTTCTCTCTAGTTGCCTAGTCTCCTCCTCCCATGCCCGCCTACAGGACTTCTCCAGGGCATCACCCATACTCTGGAACTCCCTACCCCAATCCATCAGACTATCACCAACTCTCCTCTCCTTTAGGTGCACCCTGAAAACCCATCTCTTCAGGGAAGCCTACCTCTCCCCCTGCTAATTCCCGACCTCCTCCACTCTTCCTACCACTTCATCCCCCACAGCTATCTCCTCCTGTACCACTATCCCCTCCCTCCTAGATTGTAAGCTCCAAGGAGCAGGGCCCTCAAACCCCTCGTGTATCGCATTGTATTGTTATTGTACTGTCGCATGTTCTGTCTCCCATTGTAATGTACAGCGCTGAGCGAACTGTTGGCGCCTTATAAATACTGTATAATAATAATAATAATAAAAATATAAAATTATCATGCTTCATTTGAATACATGTATGCTAAGGCCAACCTTCTCTGTTCTTAATTTGTTCTTACTTGGTCCCCATGGATCTATAACCCTGCTCTGCCTTACCACTCTAAGACTTAACTGATGCTATTCAGCTTATTATGACCCCCCACAATTACTTCACTATGGTATCCATTCCCTCTCTGACAACCACCTCTATTACTAATATTGTCATTATTATTTTCATCACTTGAAAACATAACACATGAGGTTTAAACCTCTACTCGTTACCAAATCTACTTCTTAGGGTGTCATACCTTCCCACTTCCCTTTACTTCTTCTTCTCTCCTTTCCTCTTTATTCATATCTGGATTATATGTTTATAATGTAACCAGAGAATGGTATTTGTGTGACATTTAATTACCTCATTGCATCTGCTATGCAATGATTATCCATTACACCTTTGTAATGTCATATTTCTTTTTATTTTTGGTCTTCTTTTTATAGTTAAATAAAAGCAATATTGAAAATAAAAAGTTTTGCCTTTAGTTATACTTTAAAGGTCCCTTTTCTCAGAGCAGAAGACAGATGATTTTGGCTTGTTCTTTTTCATACTGCATTTTTAGATGTGATATATAAAATACAGAACACACTCTCCTAAAGGCTGATATAGTAATAGAGCCCACTTTATAAATGATTATTTGCCACCATCTTGTGTTCATTTTAGATCATTACATTTGCTGATGTTTTACACCTTATTTTATTCTTTTGTATTGTTTTTATGAAATGATTAACCACTTCAATACCAGGAGCTTTCACCCCTTCTTGCCCAGGACAATTATCAGCTTTCAGCACTGTCACACTTTGAATGACAATTGTGTAATCATGCAACACTGTACCCTTATTAAATTTTTATCTTTTCACACAAATAGAGCTTACTTTTGGTGGTATTTAATCACCACCGGGTTTTTTTTTTTTGCTAAATAAGTAATAAATGACTGACAATTTTGAAAAAAAGCATTATTCTTTTTTCTGTTATAAAAATAAAAAATCTTTCTTCATATATTTAGGCCAAAATATATTCTGCAACATTTCTTTGATGAAAATAACCAAAATCAGTATTTATTATTTAGTCTGTAGGGAAGTTATAGAGTTCATAAACTACAGTATATATCTAAAAATTGATAAGTCCTAATGTACTGACTGCCTATTTCATTTATTGAGGCCCAAAAATGCCAGGATAGTACAAATACACTCCAAATGACCACTTTTGGAAAGCAGATACTCCAAGGTATTTAGTTAGAGGCATGGCCGGTGTATTGAAGTTGTAATTTCTTGTCAAAATTTTTTGGAAAATGAAGAAAAGCATTTTATTGTCACCAGTGTAGTACAGCATCATCATATGATTGGTGTGGCGATGATCAGGGACACTGATTGGTAAAAAAAAAAAATCATATTTGTATATATATATATATATATATATATATATATATATATTTTTTTTTTTTTTTTAACATACTGTGACCAGAGCAATACAGTGTACTACTCTGGGGAACTGATCAGGATTTATTTTTTTTGCACACTATGTTTGCTTATACTAGTGAAATTTGCTGGTTTAAGCAACCATTTTTACTGTATGAAATTGATTCATTCACTGTTTACTATTGTGATTAGCCACAGCTAATCACATGGTACAGATGGGCTGTGATTGGCCTTGTACCATATGATCCCTGTGACCAATCACAGAGATCATCACAATAGTACACAATGGAAGGCATGAATGAACGTCATTCATTGTGTGCAATTGTCATGTGATCTGCTGTGATTGGTTGCAGCGATCACATGGTACCAGCAGCGGCACTGTACGCTGAACTGTCATCCACCGGAAAAAAATGGGTGGCAGATTGCCCCACAGCGTGGCCCATGGTGCACGCACAATGCGTGTTCAGGGAGAATGTCATATGAAGTCCACCTGGAAGGGTCCTGTCTATAGGCTGGGCTGGAACCAGTTAATGTTACATATACATAGTTAGTCTGGCTGAAAAAGGACAAAAGTCCATCCAGTTCAACCATAGAAAAAAAAAAGTTATAATACTATACCCACAGTTGATCCAGAGGAAAGCAAAAAAAAAAAACCCAGCAAAGCATGATCCAATTTGCACCTGCTTGGAAAAAAAAATTCCTTCCTGATCCCCCAAGAGGCAATCAGATATTCCCTGGATCAACTTTACCTATAAAATGTTAGTATCCAGTTATATTCTGTGTATCTAAGAAATGTGCTTCTTTTTATTTATAAATAGTTTTTAATAGCTAACTGATTTGGCTATGTATATTTTTAAATAAATATTGATTGTTGGTTAATATTACATAAAATTGTCCCTTCAATATTACAGTTTTTGTGTGATCAATTGATTTTATTCATAATACTTGTAAGAAAAACGTTTTATGTCCCATGGTGGGGGTTGGGTGTCTTTATCTTGCTGTATACCATAAGTTCTCCAGTGGAAAGTATCGCTATCTGTGGTGTTTTCGCATGCATTGCCAAAATACACCAATGTGAAGAAAGCCGTAAAGCCCAGCTATAATCAAAACCTGTTTTTTCCCATTCTTCTGTCCTTCCCTTCTCTAATCCTTTCAATAAAGGCTCTTCAGGCATATTGACAGAGTAACCATTAGCCAACTGTGATCTGAGCTCAACCAATCTAATTTGACCATTTCTGTTGTCAAGTTAGGTATAACTTCTCTCCTTTTTGTTTTAAAATGTAAGGTGCAACTACATTAAAAAAGGCCAGTTTGTGGTCATTGTGATTTTAATCCAATGAGAAAGATATGATAAAATGTAGAGGATGGTGAATGGCTATTTTTTCCAGAAGAGTACTCTGGAAGCTGTGTCTCAAAAAGGCAAAAGGATGGCAAGGGCTTCTTCCCCGGAATTTTCTCTCCACAGCCGATCTTCTTCCCATTACTGACATGCCATGCATTGTTCTGCACCGTGTTTCTATATGGATGTGCCTGTCTTAGTAGAAGAGCAGGGCTTTGCTTCCTATCACAGCCAACCCCCTGATAACTGTTTATTCTGATGGTTGGTTTAATATTGAAGAAGTGGGTGGAAAAGTGGAAGAACACAGACAGGGGCGGACTGACAACTCATGGGGCCCCCGGGCAATAGGGGATCATGGGGCCCTGTGTCCTTGCACAAACTCAAAAAAGCCTATGAAAAAGGTACCAGGGGCATCTCTTGGGGCCCCCTACTGACCACGGGCCCTCGGGCAGTGCCCGAGTTTCCAAATGGTCAGTCCACCCCTGAACTCAGATGACAGTATGTGTGAAGTAGAAGATCTCAGATATAGCTTTCTCTCCGGCAGGCCCTCAGGGAAAGGAGCACAGGATAAACATAACCAAATTTCACATTCAAGTCTTGTGAGACAACCAGTCACTGGTACAGTGCCTTAAATAATCTCACACTGCAGATACAGAATTATGAGGCTATATAACAATAGTGCCCTAAAAAATGCACTGCTACTTCTCAGGTGGAATTCAATAGGTAGATTTTTTCAGGATGCTGCTTAGGCATTATTATCATTCTAGATATTTCCTATAAAATACAAACAGTTCACTTTTGAGTTTAGTATTCTTTTTTAAATATATAACATACAGCACCCCTTCAAGTTCATGGGTGGTATGGCCTTTGACATTCATTACAATTAATTTTCTTTTTAATTTTATTTAATTTTAATAATTTTTTGAAGAGAAAAAAAGGTATACAATATGAAATACATTAGAAGTATAGGACAACAAAACATAATACATTAAAGAAGCTGGGTGCCATTTAACAAAAGGTAAATAACTTATAGGTATAAAGATTCTGGGAGATGGTGTACGAAAGGATGTATAACAGATATTAGAGTGTAAGAGTGGCAAGCCCTTGTCAATCGATATATGGTGGGTTGAGTATAATAAGAAAGTGTAAGAGAAGAAGAAATGAGACGAGAGGTAAGAGGAGTAAGGAAGAAAAAAAGGAAAATAAAGAAAAAATAGAAATAGGGAAAGGGTGGGGTCACCTTATAACATTAAACCGCTCCTTCCTCTCCAAAAATCATTGGCGATAACCAAAAGATTTGCCTACAGCAATGGACTTGCCAATAATGGTGGGACTCACCTGCCTTTGTTGGCTGCAGTACCAGGGCTGGCCAGCGGGTGCTCTCAGCAATTAGAGACTCAACCCTGCAGTCAGCCAAACACCTGAGGCTGATTGCAGGTGTATTTAAGGGATGGCCAGAACCTGCAGTCTGTGCCTTGGTGTGTGTGTTTTTCCATGGACCCCTGTATCTTGTTACCTGCATTCCTGTTCCTGTTCCTGTCTGACTGATTTGTTGCCGACCCTGCCTGATCCGTACCTCTGCTGACTTCTCCTGTTTGATCCCTGGCTTGTGACCCCGACCCATTCTCTGCCTGACCCCCTGTACCTACCTGCCCGTTAGTTTCTGTACCCGGCTCGTGACCTGACTACTCTCTGCCTGCTCCTCCTGTTCCTACCTGCCCGATTGTTATTGACCCGGCCTGACTACGCTTGCATTGTTTGTATTGTTATCTGTGGGTGGTTATTTGGTTTGGTTCGTTTGCACTGTGTTTATGTTTTAGTATTGCACTGCGTTTTGTATTGTTAGTCTTAATAAATTATATTGTTATAACATATCTGAAGCCTGCGTTTCCCTGCGTCAGTTCACATACCTCTGGTCATACCCGGAGCCCTGACCGGACCACACAGGTTTTCCTCCCCGCGCTTAGTAAATGTGTGTGGTTCATTGCTGGTGGCAAGCCCTTCGGTTGCCTCCTACAATCATAGGGAGAAAAGGTAGTGGTCAACGTTAAGGTAATCAACATAGTCTAGCCATGGGCCCAAAACCTTAAGGTATTTAGCATGGGTATCATTGAGAATGGACGTCAATTGTTCATGTGTCATAGTACCAAGGAGTTTGAAAGCTAGTCAATAAGCAAAGTTGTGTGGGTTGAGTATAATAAAAAAAAGTGTAAGAGAAGAGGAAATGAGAAGATAGGCAAGAATGGAGAAGGAAGAAAAGTAGGGAGTGGGAAAAAAAGTAATAGTGACAAGGTGAGGGTTACCAAACATGCACCACTCCCTCCTCTCCCTATAATTGTTGGTGGTAACTGAAGGGCTTGGTGCTGGCAATGGACCACACAGATTTTCCTCTCAGAAAACCTGTGTGATCTATTGCTGGTGGCAAGCCCTTCAGTCACCGCCATTGATTATAGGGAGAGGAAGGGAGTGGTCAACGTTAAGGTAATCGAGATAGTCTAGCCATGGAATGTGCAGTTCAATTTTGGGCACTATTTTACAAAAAAAACATTGGGGAACTGGAGAAAATACAGAAAGTAAGGGCAACCAAACTGACAAGAGGCATGGAAGAGCCGTATTTATTCTCTCTTGAGAAGAGGAGATTAAGGGGGGATATGATCTCCATGTATAATACATAAGGGGGGATATGATCTCCATGTATAATACATAAGGGGATATGATCTCCATGTATAATACATAAGGGGGGATATGATCTCCATGTATAATACATAAGGGGGGATATGATCTCCATGTATAATACATAAGGGGGGATATGATCTCTATGTATAATACATAAGGGGGATATGATCACCATGTATAATACATAAGGGGGATATGATCTCCATGTATAATACATTAGGGGGATATGATCTCCATGTATAATACATAAGGGGGGGATATGATAAACATGTATAATACATAAGGGGGGATATGATCTCTATGTATAATACATAAGGGGGATATGATCACCATGTATAATACATAAGGGGGATATGATCTCCATGTATAATACATAAGGGGGATATAATCTCCATGTATAATACATAAGGGGGGATATGATCACCATGTATAATACATAAGGGGGATATGATCTCCATGTATAATACATAAGGGGGATATGATCTCCATGTATAATACATAAGGGGGGATATGATCTCCATGTATAATACATAAGGGTGGATATGATCTCCATGTATAATACATAAGGGTGGATATGATCACCATGTATAATACATAAGGGTGGATATGATCTCCATGTATAATACATAAGGGGGGATATGATCACCATGTATAATACATAAGGGGGATATGATCACCATGTATAATACATAAGGGGGGATATGATCTCCATGTATAATACATAAGGGGGGGGGGTATGATCTCCATGTATAATACATAAGGGGGGGTATGATCTCCATATATAATACATAAGGGGGATATGATCTCCATGTATAATACATAAGGGGGGGATATGATCTCCATGTATAATACATAAGGGGGATATGATCTCCATGTATAATACATAAGGGGGGATATGATCTCCATGTATAATACATAAGGGGGATATGATCTCCATGTATAATACATAAGGGGGATATGATCTCCATGTATAATACATAAGGGGGATATGATCTCCACGTATAATACATAAGGGGGATATGATCTCCACCGTAATACATAAGGGGGGATATGATCTCCACGTATAATACATAAGGGGGGATATGATCTCCACGTATAATACATAAGGGGGGATATGATCTCCACGTATAATACATTAGGGGGGGATATGATCTCCACGTATAATACATAAGGGGGAAATGATCTCCACGTATAATACATAAGGGGGGATATGATTTCCATCTATAATACATAAGGGGGGATATGATCTCCACGTATAATACATAAGGGGGGATATGATCTCCATGTATAATACATAAGGGGGGATATGATCTCCATGTATAATACATAAGAGGGATATGATCTCCATGTATAATACATAAGGGGGATATGATCTCCATGTATAATACATAAGGGGGGGATATAATCACCATGTATAATACATAAGGGGGGATATGATCAACATGTATAAATACATCAGTGGTTCATATAGTGAACTCGGTGTAGAGTTATTCACCCTGAGGTCATCACAGAGGACAAGGGGGCACTCTTTACGTCTGAGGAAAATAAATTTAATCTCCAAATACAGAAAGGTCGGGGGGTTACGCCCCCCTGACCTCACCACCCCCGCCCCACCCTGTGAAATAATATAGACTCCCTCAAGAGTTGATTCTAGCCAGCTCAGTGGATTGCTTCAAAAAAGTCCTGGATTCTTTCTTGGATACACAGAATATAACTGGATACTAACATGTATAGGTAAAGTTGATCCAGGGAATATCCAATTGCCTCTTGGGGGATCAGGAAGGATTTTTTTCCCCAGCAGGAGCAAATTGGATCATGCTTTGCTGGGTTTTTTGCCTTCCTCTAAATCAACTGTGGATGTAGGATTATAACTTTTTTTTCATGGATCAACTGCATGGACTTTTGTTTTTTTTCAGTCAGACTAACTATGTAACTATTGCCATGGGCCCCATATTTTGGTATTTAGCATGGGTATCCTTGAGAATGGAAGTCAATTTTTCATGTGTCATAGTACCAAGAAGATACAGGTGAAACTCGAAAAATTAGAATATCGTGCAAAAGTTAATTTATTTCAGTGCAGCAACTTAAAAGGTGAAACTAATATGAGATAGACTCATTACATGCAAAGCAAGATAGTTCAAGCCGTGATTTGTCATAATTGTGATAATTATGGCTTACAGCTCATGAAAACCCCAAATCCACAATCTCAGAAAATGAGAATATTACATGCAATCAATAAAACAAGGATTGTACATAGAACAATATCGGACCTCTGAAAAGTGTAAGCATGCATATGTACTCAGTACTTGGTTTGGGCCCCTTTTGCAGCAATTACTGCCTCAATGCGGCGTGGCATGGAAGATATCAGCCTGTGGCACTGCTGAGGTGTTATGGAAGACCAGGATGCTTCAATAGCGGCCTTTCAGCTCTTCTGCATTGTTTCGGTCTCATGTCTCTCATCTTTCTCTTGGCAATGCCCCATAGATTCTCTATGGGGTTCAGGTCAGGCAAGTTTGCTGGCCAATCAAGCACAGTAATCCCACGGTCATTGAACCAGAGTTCGGTGCTTTTGGCAGTGTGGGCAGGTGCCATGTCCTGCTGGAAAATGAAGTCAGCATCCCCATAAAGCTCGTCTGCGGAAGGAAGCATGAAGTGCTCCAAAATCCTGGTAGACGGCTGCGTTGACCCTGGACTTAATGAAGCACAGTGGACCAACACCAGCAGATGACATGGCTCCCCAAATCAACACAGACTGTGGAAACTTCACACTGGACTTCAAGCATCTTGCAGTGTGTGCCTCTCCATTCTTCCTCC